CTTGCCTTGAATTTTCTGTAGCCGCAAAATATGCAATATTTTATTATTGTTGCCCCGAACAGTATGCAACACTTTATTTCAGCGCTATGCGCTTCCGCCTCGGCTTGGATTTCCCTTCGTCTTTTCCTGCCCCGCCAAGGACCTCGCTTTTCAGCAGATCTGGAACAGTTCCAAGCCCTGACTCCTTGGTTTTTGCCCTTGTGTGAACACCAAAAAGTATGCTATGTAGATAGTTTTTGCATGCGATTTGAATGAGCGCAAACGGATATCGCGCTGTGTTTGAAACTTTTTTGTTTGATTTAAGCTAGAGCAGCACATGAGTGCCACTCGAAATCATTTTAAAACAGTCGAAAGCTGTTTTTGGTTGAAGATTGTTTTAGCCGGATGGCTAGGTTTGCCACTTTATTTAGGAATGTGCGAAAAAAATGCATAATTTGCATATTTCCTGTTGGAGTATTATAGAACTCACTAAAATGAATACAGAGAATGCAAAAACTTTTTTAAATTTATATCACACATAATTGAGCTCACAGACGGAAGTTCCGCCATCAATGGGACATTGAACCAAACAACAAATAAATGTTTGTAAACTTTTCTCACCAGGTTTTTTTATGCTTTGTTTCTTCCACAAATATAGAGTTCAATCAACCCTTTAAAAGTTGGCCCAAACAAAAAGTTGTTGGCCACTCAGACTTTTTAATGACCATTCGGGCAGAGAACTTTCCTTGCCCCGAAATTCAAATTGAAGGCTGGGAATCAATCCAAAGTGGGCGGGACCAATTGTCCTGCTGGCGTTAATTTTATGTCTTGCAGCATGTTGCACGCAGTGTAAATGCTAATTAGGACCGGGAAATGTCTGCAGCTGGGGAGGTATTTGCTTCTTAATTGCGTAAACCAAGCGTTTGATTGCTATTTGCACAGCAATTGACATTAAACAGTTGAATCAATAAAAAATTAAAACGGAAGTCCCACAACAATGGCAATCAAGTGCGAGTTTCGGCAAATATTTAATGTCTTTTGGGTGGGTTGATGGAAAGAGATGGAAAGAGATGGAAAGAGATGGGAGAGGGTGAGACCTTTGTTTTAACCCCCAGCCTAATGACTAACTAAACAAGCTGTTGTTCTGCCCCTTGCAGACCCCGATATTAAAACAACAATATTATTATTAGCACAAACAGAACGGTCATTGGCCTACCCCCAATTGAAGAAGTCAAGAAACCTCAATTAGGCTGTCAATCAACACATCGAATGGAGTCGACTCGGGGTCGAGCCGCCGTCCCGTCAACATTCCGCCAAATAATAGAGCTATTGATTTTCCACCCCCTTTAATGACGCCGCCCATGGCCCGAGGGCGTTTGCTGGCTTGCCCCAGGCTGTCCTTGATCGCCTAATTAGCTGCCTGTCTGCGGAATATATTGCTCCTGATTTTCCCCCTCTTCAAAGTGGCGCTATGTCCGAAAAAACCCGGCAGCAAATAATGCAAATATGATTTCGCCATGACTACAAGCGGTCTCTTTGAGAGCTTAAGACATGTGTTAATATGCATATTTGGCAATCATTATTAAAGCAAGGAAGTTATGTGATATCTTTAATAGCATTAATTAAATCATTTTATGAAGGTTTTTCTATTCTTAATTAATGATGATAAGTGAGTCAAAGTCAGCAGGACTTCTTTTTCTTGAGTACTATCAATAATGACCACTAAGTTATTAATTTTCAAATTAAAATTTCTAAAATTAGTAATTATGACACAGAATTGTGTATCTTCTATTATAAATTAAATTTGTTATACCTTTATAACCTTTTCTGACAATAGTCACTGATTTTAATCATTTTAATTAAACATTTTATACAAAAGCAGTGTTCCTTGAATTTAAAACTTTTAAGCTAGAATGCAGACAATACCCTCTTCAACAGGAGTTTTAATTTTTTTTCGTCAAAACAAATAAATAAAAGCTAGGCATACTCTTGAGAATCAGCTTAATCCATTTATTTATGTTTGCTAATTGCCAAAGGAAAACCACTCGAGCCGGTGGACTCGACTAGGGGCGAAAATTCGAATGGAATGGGCATATTCGCCAGTTGATAAACGAGCGGAACTGCAAGAGGCTGTCAAATCTGAGCCTTTGTTCGATTTAATTATCGGTTGTACAAAGAGTTGGGCGGAAGAAACCTCTGCTAGCCTTCGAGGGCATATCCTTGTGGCATGTGGCAGGGATGTAACAAAAAACCAATAATGAAAGTGGAGTTGCTCTGCAAGCGATGTCAGTTCAATGCAGCTTCCCCCTGCCCAGTTCGATCCCCCCTCCCCCACCAACCGGCAAAGAATTCCCAGCCCTTTATCGATTAGCGCTTGTAACAGCTTTTACCTATGGGAATGTGGGTGCACTTGGAAAAATTGGCTTAAATTATTTAATTTTAAATTTATAAAATTGTTTTATAAAATAATAATATTTCAATCTTTATTTCTATCATTTCAGTTGGCTTAAAAAAACAACCGCAACAAAACATTTGAAAAGTACGATAAATATTTATAGAAAAAAATTAAATAAGCAGTATTGTTGTTAAATAAGTAATAATAACATAATAATAACACAACCACTTTTACAATATATTTTAAATAGAAAAAACTATATTTTTTAATACATCTATAATATTTTAAACCCTTTTTTCTTTTACAGATTTCATTCGGTTGATTTTAAGAAAAAATCAACAAAAAGTTAGAGGAATATCTTAAAAAAATTAAATTAAATTGTTCCTTTTTTGGATAAAAACGTGTGATGTCTTCTTATCATAATTACAGTTTTTTCCAGTGCACGTACAGTGTATACAAACAAACATGTTACTAAAACTGCTGTAGACGGTGACCTCTCACCCCAAACTTAAGGGTAAGGGAGGGGGTTGGGAGGGTCAAGGGGAGGCAGCTACCAGAGCAAATGACGCTGCAAATGAAAGCAGGAAACGTCGCCGCATTCATTCATTTTACACACAAAAGCCATTAACCGCTTTGATTCCATTGTTTTGTTTGTCATCATCATCATCAACAGCAACAACATCACTTCTACTCCCACTACCAGTCCCCATTCTCCCGGAAGACTACGCCGTAATCCTCCCGATTCAATTCCCCATTCCGTTCAAGGGATCAGGGGTCACGAGAGGACAAGGGTATGGGGCAAGTCAAGGCTATGATTTACACGATTTGCCATTTGATTTTTAATGGACTCGGTGTCATAGAATCTGTCACTAACTCCAGGGGTAGTAAATTCCGTTTAAAAGGCATAAATGAAATGATAAATGCAGTTTCAACTCTTTTTGTAAAAAAAAAAAAAACAATTTATAAGCGAACAATGAAAAAATGGGAATGTATAAATCCATATAATAAGGATTACTTTTACATATATAATGATTTGTATTTATCTTAAGAGGTTTAAGGATACAAATTTGTATCAGGTTATTAATTACATATCACAATAAAAAAGTAACGTAGAAAATTCAATTAATATAAAAACAGTAAGATAAATGGATTACCTTGATATTAAACAAAAGGTTTTTATAATGTTTCATATGGTTTTTTATGTTAATTTTAATTGTTTATTATTTTTTTGTGTTGTTAGAACAAAGCTCTGATATAAGAACTGCATTAAATTGAAGGCAAATTAATTACTGAATTTCACTTAAATTTGCCAAAATTCAAATTAAATTAGCCATTAGTCTTTCTATTTGTTAAGAATTAGACAAATCCGCAAATCTCTAATTTCTATTTATTTTCTTACACAGCCTTTATCTTTTCACCTATGACCTGTCGAAATGTGCTGTTGGGGGAGTCCTTAACCGAGCACTTTCACCCATTTGCCATTGTTGTCCCTCTTGCGCCCCAATATTATTATTATTGAAAGACTTTTGCTGAGCTGCGGGTTTTATAAAGTGCCTGCGGCACTGCTTCCCTTCAGTTCCGCACCGTTCCGTTCCGTCCGTAGACCATCATCAACGACCGTGGACCCCTTAGACCGTCTCCGTCCGTCCGTTCGTCTGTCCGTCCGTTAGCCTGTCCGTCCGGTGCTGGCAAAAAACGACTCTTGCGGAAAAATCAACATTGCACAAAAGTTTTCAACGTTTCGTACCGCCAATCTCCAGCACCACCCACTAACACCACCCCTTTAACCACCCATCACCCATTTACCCACCATTTTGATCCACCTCCATCGTCATCGTTCATTTTGCTCCCTTTGCATTGCTTTTTTTGTTTTGGCTTAGCGTTGATGATGTATGCACTTTGAAAAGAGTTGAGCAAAGTGGTTTTTCGGGTTTGATGAGCTAACGTCAAGTCCCCACTGCCCAGCCCCGCCTACTTTTCCGCCCTTTTCCCGCCGACTGAGAAATATGAGTACGTGTGGGTGGGTGGGTGTTTGATTTCCCCCCGTCTGTGTGTTTGAATTGCACTCCTGCATAAAGTTATTAATGGACTTCAATGGGGTTTCAATTATGCAGTTTCTGCGATTTGAATTTGAATGATATTTTGATTGTTTGCTTGCGTTTGTTAGAGGATTCCCAAATTAGATGCAACCAAAGGCATTGTTTAAATTTAATCAGGGAGCTAATGACATTGATTCGAGCCACAGTTGACTGGCAAATAATTAGTTTTGGAATTTTAAATAGCCAGTTATTTAACTGTTTTTTAGCATGCATATGCGCAGGTTTTGATACTATATCACATGTTTGCTTTCGTAAGTGATGTAAACTACTTATTGGCATTTGCAATTTTTGAATAGTTAAAAAAAATCGAACAACATGCAGTGTGTTATTTGATTACTAAAAATATATAATAATTGCAACATTACTTATTGTAGAAATGGGCTGATATAGCTTAAATATTTATCAATTCAATTTTTTTAATTAACAAGTTTTAAAACTCAAATTCGCGGCTTGAAAAGCTCAATTTGAGTTCAGGGGTGCATTTTCGATCGATTCATCGATGTGGCAGCCCTACTCTAAAATAGATGTGGGCACTCTAACTAAATGCAGCAACCTCGTTCTTTTAATGCGTAATTTCAGCATAAAACGAATTGGGAATTAATTGGAAATAGTAAGTTACAGATCAAGTCATTTTTTTATAACATAAGTAACTCTAATCGATTATCAGGAATAAGTTCACCAAACGCTACAAGTCGCTGTCCATGTCAATCCCAAAAAAAGCCAAAACTAGTGAAATCAGAACAAGAAGTCCACAAAGCTGGTCCGATTTTAGCTAATTGTAGTGTCCTGGACGCAAAGATGGATTCTACAGGATCGGGTGAGAAATCAAGCCATCAGAAATCACTGGCAAGCGCTACTCCAGGGATTCCAACGCAGGAGGAGGTGCTGCACATATACAGAAATGTGTGCCAATTGACGGATATAGAGCGCTATCTGAATATATTGTACACGTGAGTTGGGAATAGCAGGTAATGTTTCATATCAAATGATATCATACCCTTGTAGACCCTTTTCCTGCTTGGCCACCACCACATCCAAGTACGATCTCTGGGAGCTGGAGACTTTTATTCCCCATGCTCGGTACGATCCCGAAAGACACTTGGCTGTTTCGGTTAATCGACTAATGCCAGTGACCAGTCTGAAGATATATCCCAATGGCAATATATATTGTCAGGGCTTTAACCGTGATGCTACCCGTAGAGGTGTGATCAATATAATCGAAGAGCTGAGGGACTTGGGCTATAACTGTCGTTTGCGGAGGTGTCAATTTAATGTGGTCAACGCCACTTTTAGTGTGCCCTTTCATCTGAATTTGGACCAGCTTCACTTGCAAAATCCAAGCTTTGCCCAATACGATCCCATTAAGAAGCCATTTGTGACCTACACATTGTGGGGTACAATGGTTAAGTTCGCCATATTTCCCACGGGCTACGTATACGTAATGTCTGCAAGCACTCGAGGACTCGTCAAGCTGGCCATATCAAAGCTTTTGCCTATCCTGTACTGTTACAAGGGTTCTGAGCAGGATGAAAGCGAACAGAGCCTAACCTGTGGCGATATCAACTACAAATTGCTTTGGGAGAAATATTTTCAGGAAAACGACCCCTCAGACTAGTGGGAAACTTATTGATGAAGTTCTTGAAAAAATGAAATCAATTTAAAAAGAAGAGAGATTACCTAACTTCCAAAATGATATCGATAAGATTTGTTTGGAGATGTTGAAAAAAACAAAACTACTACCAAATAAGAAACTACTATTTAGTTAACAGCTAAGTGTCCTTAAGTTCTGTTTATGAGATTTTCAAATATAAAGTCCATTTCATAATGCCTACAAACTTTTCGCTTAACATGCATAAGAGCATAAATGCCTCATAAATGTCAGAAAATTGCCCCGAGGTAAATAGTTGAGAACCGTTTTATGCTCGCTTTAAATTGGGTTAAAAACTTTACCTTAAAATTAAGCCTGCTGCCCACAAGTCGTTGCCTTTAACTGGGAATTCCCCCACCACAAAAGGAGTCAGTCGAAATCACTCGCAAATTTACAATGTAGATTTCCCACTGCAACCCACCTGGAAATCGAATGTTTGCAGTGCTTCGGGTCCTAGTGGTGAATGGTTTTTGTGGTGGTGATGGTGGTGGTAATGGTGGCGATGGTGGGACACCCACTAGCATAATAAAAATGACAGCGAGCATGACAAAACCGAATGAAATCGAATCGGTAGCGAAAATGTGTCAAATGGAATTTGAAACCGGCAGCTCCATCACCCATGGCACTACTCCACCCATTCATTTTACCCAACTCCTGACCAGGTGGCTTCGATTTGTGCTGGCCGACATGAAAAACAATTCAGTGTCATATTTGTGTGCTCGCTTTTTGCGTTTGTTTTGTAAACGCAGCTCATCGGAATTGGTATGGATGGGTTCTGGGTCCTGGTTCCTGTGTCCTGTGTCCTTCTGATCACGGCATGGTAGGAAATTTGTCCCTTAACGTGCGGATAATTTGGAGCGCTTTTCGTTTGTCATCCTGGCCGCATGATGTGTACTCAGCAGAGTAACTTCACTGTTTGCATTTGAATATTGGACAATGATGCGGTCTGTAGGGGCACTCATTAGTGAGATGTCATTTCACATTTCCTGATTAATACTAACTGTTTGCTAATCGCAAACACGCAATATTCACGATATATTCCAAGCTTCAAACGAAAATCAATTGATTAATGTGAAATTAAACCATAAACGAAAACCATAACAAACATTATTCTTATACTCTAACCATTTGCATATTGTTAGAAAAATCTCTTTTATAATACCCATTCATACATAATTGTAAAACATTTGTATATATATTGATACAATTTTGCCTTTTCAAGTTCAAAAAAGGTTTAAATATATCCCAAAAGTTCAAACAAAAAAAAATATTTATTGAGACAATACCAATTTTGTGTGCCACAAATTCCAATTAAAGAACTGCAGTTAAGTTAATCAAATATAATGCGATTTCATTAGTGGCTGGGGCTCATCCAAAAAGCTAAATCCCCATAAGTAAGCATGTAGTTTTTGGTGGATTTACGAGCTTAGTGCGCTTAATGAACGAACCAAAAACACAAACTTGGCTGCGGATTAAGAGCTTGGATTACGAAAAAAAAAAATAATAATTTCGCTGAAAAACAAATTAACTAAAATCTGCTCATTTGAATTCCAGGCGCAGAGCTAAAAATGCAAAAAGTAATTAATATTCTTGCTGTTCGTGTGTCCATGGCGGTTTGGACCGAAGCATCCAGGGCCCGCAGGACTATGTGGTGAAGTGGAGTGGAGTGTAGTGGACTGGGCTGGACTGCATTTTCATAATTCCAGGACAACAACAGCGAGCAAAACGTCGGGGAGAGTCAGTCCAGCCGAAAAAAGGAGCAAAACGAAGCGCAGTAAATTCCGACGCACTGGAATTTATGCAGCAAATATTAACTTACCACATACACATATACACACACACACACTCTGATAGAGGGTCCTGGCACATAAATCCAAGGAAAAGAACGCATAAGGCAAGGACATGGAATGGCCAAATGATCCCCGACCACCCGATTTGTGCTTGGCCAGCAAGAACTGACAACAAAACTCATTAGCAGACCCGACGACCGTGACCGTCGCGCGAATGGGCGTGCCACTTCCGTCCCCTTTGACCACGCCCCCCTTCGCCTTGGGCGGGTGGGCGTTGGCCGCCGGTCAACCGCAGAACCCGGGAAATTGTTAGAAAACTCCGAACACTCCACTCCACCACCCGCACAAAAAAAAAAAAACGCAGCATGCACTTCCGTTTGGCGCAAAAGTTCTCGTTATTTTATTCATATTTTCGCAGGCTGCACTTTATCTCACTGCGGCGGTCTTAGTTGGCGAAATTGTGTGCAACCACGAAAATCTAATAAGCCCGCAAATTTGTTGACATTGCGCAAATGTTTTTTACGGGCCTAGCAGGAGCAACTTTCCCCAAACGAAGGAGCCTTCGTTAAAGATGACTGGTGGTCTGGCCTTGGGCCTTAACCCATTTCGACGCAGTGCCAGATTTTAGTTATTTTTTTTTCTGCGCTTATGGCCAAGTTGCTCTCTGCGCCAATTTTCAAATAATTAGGGGTGGTAATTGCACTTCCCAGGGCAAATAATTCACATTTCAACAGAATGTAAATGAAAAGCATTTCAATTTGGACATAATTATGGCGGTTTCTAAGAAAGCCATTAAAAATTTTACTGTCAGAAACTAAACAATGGAAGAAATAAAATAAGATATAATAATAATAAAATAAGAAAATTACATGATAATGAACACGAATACATGGTAAAACTAAATAATGGTATAACTTTTAATGTGTTTATTCCTCAAATGTAACCTTCTGAAATCTCATATTAATAACAACTTTTAATCTTTTTTCTTTTTTTTCTGTAGAATGCAGATTTTGCTTCTGATCAAAGGGCAATCGAGTTGCCAAGTTATAAATGGTTTAACAGTGCCAAAGGCAAAAACAGGAGCTGGACAAAAAGCAGGACCCCCGAGATCGTCACACCCGCAAAACAGAAACTTTCTCGCATTTTTCCTACCTTTGACAAGTCGCGTGCGATGGTGCGTAAACCTTTTGGCTTTTGCACTTTTGCAAACAGGTGAAGTTGGGGGAAAATCAGGGGAAATGCCCGACGACGAAAGTGAATTTGCATCGATGGGGTTGGTTTTCCGGCCATAAAGACCTTTCTATCCATCAGCGGCGGAGGCGGCCAGACAATTTCATTAACTACGCTTCTGTGCCGTTTAAAGGCCAAGTCTTCGCCTCCTTTGATTTTTATCGGTTGGCCTCGACACGAGATGTCCAGGACTGTCTGACAGGCAGGATTAAATGCGAGAGCGGCCCGGGGACAGGGCGTAAAGTTTTTAATTATTTTTGTGGTTTGAAAATGCATTTCCCGCCACAGCACAGCACAGCAGCCCAGTCAAAGCCAACCGACCCACGCAACCCATAAAACCCAGCCACCACAGCGCCTGTCAAGGCAAAGGACATAAAGGATAAAGGAGCAACCGCAAACACCCCGACTTTTATCAGCGCCTTGCCATTGTCATTGTCATGTGTTACCCATGGTGAGCTTACTGCGTTCATTTAAAAGAAAAGTGCAATAACATGTTATTTCGCCCATGGACAGCAGGACTCGACTTTGGCCAGGACCTTTCCTCTTCAGTTATTCCCGGTGCGATTGTTAACGGTAAGCGGCTTTAAAACATTCACTGCCTTATTACGTAATTACAAGCGGATGACAGCGGCGGCGGCATTCGCTGCATTGAATTATTCGAAATACGCGAATAATTGAAAATGAAAAGGAAAAAAAAATAAACAGGGAGAATCGTCCAGAAATCAATGAAAAATTCAGTGATTTACATTACCATTCAGACATTTTTCGCTCATTATGGAAATTTATTTATTATACCTTGCGCTTTGAATGAAAATTCGTTTGTCCTGTCCTTTTCCGAAGGAAACTATGCAAACGCCAGAAAAATGATCAGGCTTACACTAAATTAATGCAGATTCAATGGATTATTTTTCAATCAATCAAATTACGGGCTTAAAATTGCCCCAAATTGGTGTTTAATTTTTAAAAAATATACATTTCTTTTATAGATTGCCTTAATTATTTATAAATGATAATTTAATTTAAAAATGCATTTATAATCTAAATTGGCAATTTATAAGTCTTATCAGTGATAAAAAGGTTGTACTTGAAGGTGTTAATTATTTTGTTTTTCCTCTACTATTTTCTAAAAATAACTTTAGAATAATATGTTAATTTTGTTGTGATAAATAGCAATCGATAACAAATCAAGTCTTTTTCCAGCATAAATTAATTTACTTTAAGACCCGTATCAACTTTTATTATGTTTTCACCACTTATCGAAACTTTATGAAACCCGGTTCGCTTTTAGTGCATTTCCAAAGCTCACTTTTTATGCAAGTTCCAACGAATTCCAGCTAATGCCATATTTTTCGGTGCATGGCAGCGATCAACAAGAAAAGGAGGGCAACTATTTTTCGAGGAAATATCCGCACAAATTTTCACAATTAATATGCACTTCCTGTGCAGACGACTTGCAACCATTTCTGAATGCAACAACAAGTACTTTGTGGGTGGATGGGTGGTTAGTAGTGGGTATTCCTCAAGCAACCCCAAACTGCCGCGGAGTTCACATGTGAGTTCATTGCTGCCATTAATGAATACGTGTGCAGCAATAAAGCCATTTTTTATGGGCAAAAGTCACGTGAGAAACTATTTAGTACATCTACGAACGAGTCAGGTGGAAAGTGGGTGCAAAGTCGGTGCAACTTTGTGCCTGATACAGCCAGCTGAATGAAAGAAAGAAAGGCAACTTTCCTTCTTCACTGAGGAGTAGTTGTAGAGGAGCAGCAAACAAAAAAATCACAGCAAAAAAAGTGAAAATATTTTCTAGCCACTCACATGAATATTTATATGTGTGCAGCGTACCATCCATCCATCCAAACCAGAACCAAAAACTAAAACTGAGGCATTTTGTGTGCTGGCTGAATTAATTTTTGGCATTTATCAACTAAGCAAATTGAAATCGTGTCGGTCGAGTCTGGCATTCCTAACCCAGTTTATTGTTCTGGGCTCCTCTTGATATGTGCACTCGAGCACTTTTTGTGTAGCGTTCCTCTAACCTATGTTGTTGAACAAGTAAATCAACGAGTTTTTGATACTTCCCCAACTTTTTTGGCACATCAGATAATTGATTTGCAAGTGGAGCGACTGGGGCGTTAATGAGTGACGCTTGTCAAAGTTTTTGAAATGCTACGAGTTCGTGGAGTAGAAAAGGAAATGTTTTTCCTTCAGGGAAATACGGTTACTTTCGATCAAACTCTTGGGGGAACTTCTGCTGTAGGTGCGATATGTGTAATAAGCTAAAAAGCATATATTCTTATAAAAGGATATTACAATGATATTAAGTGTATACCGAAGTATCCATATATTTTTATATATTGTGTTAAAAATTGAAGGAAAATGTCTTAATAAGACAAAGTCCTCTTTATATGATTTAGAATATACTTTTTAAAACTGTATAAAAGGTGAAATGAATGTGTTACATTGATCATTATAATAAAATTTGTAAAAACTTGAATACAAAACACAAAAAAAGTCCATCTTATATATATTATCCCAGCTAAGACACCTTTTGCTACTCTTAAGAGGCGGAGAATGGAAAAGCATTTCAATTTCATCCACATTCAGGCCGACACCCGACCATAAAAGTACCGAAACTTGTGCACTTTATGGATCTCTTAGCGCAGAGAACTAGCATTACGACCTTGTGTGTGGGTGGGTGGGTGTTCCTTTTGAGGGGGCCATACGGCAATGCACCCATTAGGCCGACCGGTAAATGAGCATTGAAGCAATTCATAAAACTGCCCAAACAAAAAGCCAATTTTATTCGCTCCAGGCACGCGTAAGTGGAGGCTTTCCTTTTCTTTTCTTTTTGTTTTCTCCATTGGCGCCATTGTAATAGTCCGCCGTAGTCCAAGTCCAAAGTGCCGGAGTCCGGAGTCCGGCTGGGCGATGGTGAAAACGTGTTTACGCTTTTATTATGTAAAGAACCGGGCAAGCCACTCCGTGGCCGTAAAAAGAGCGGACGCACACTTGAACTCCACAAATCTGGAGGGGAGTGGCGTAGAGTGGAGTGTGTTTTAGGCCTCCTGCGCCGTAACGTATGCAAAGTAATTGCGCGCATTAAATATGTTCTGTTTTTATTAACTGCGGCGTTGCGGTTGCCTCACTCTCTTAACGAGAAACAATTAAGAAAAACAGGCGCGTATCATAAAAATTAAAATTATGCAAATGTAGTAATTTTCAAGCAACAATAGCAAACAAAAAAATGGAAGGTGGAAAATTCCGGCAGACTGCAGGCAATTTTGGTTTATTTTGTTGGCGTTGCTTACATTTATTCTGCTGTTTAGCGTATGCAAATCCCATAAAAACTCATTTTGAGCCAATTGACTGCATTGTTGTTTGGCGAAGTCTTTTGGGTTTCCTTCTCTTGTTAGCGCTTTTCACTACCGTCTGGTAATTTAGTCCCCGCTAAGCTTTAGTTGGGATTTTCCAAAAGGGGGGAAACACTACAGACGATGTCTCTCCATCATCGTCTCCTCTGCTCAACGGTAATTAACTAAAATCGTGTTTTTATTTGCCAGACAACCGGAGAGCGGAAAGCGAGAACAATGCGCAAAAATCCGTTCATTTGCGAAAATTGTTTAGCTCCGGAAAAATAACAACGAATCTGGTAACGGGCAACAAAATCGCAAATGGAAATCTAAAAACCCGCTGCTGGGAAATGTAACCGTAAACGGGTACTAATACAACTGGGACTTCCCCATCGTTGGCACTGAAAAAAAATGTTACTTAAAATTATAATTTTATTTTACCTTAATTTAAATTTTAAAAATTAAATTAAATTTAAAAAATTACTATTATTTATTTCAAATGCAAATGTAATATTGCAAGCCTTTCAGGACTTGAAAATTTAACTTATATTAGTGTTCATTACATTTCTCAGTGTGCTTATTTTAAAGCAACTTTAGCGAAACATGCCAATCTATGCACACACTGAAGCGCTTGTTGGTTTTTAATTTTATAGCCAAACAATATGCTTACAGATTTCGTTTGCAGTTTTTATTAAAAATCGATTGCCACACGCTTCGTAGATGCGAAACATCGAAATAGAAAAAATACATGCACTTGAAGCATCCATCCGTGTGCAGCGGGTTAGCAATAATACCCGTTTGGCTTGTGGCTTTGCAACTTTCATATATATATATATATAGATAGATACATATACATATGGGGTGTATACTGTATCCAACGATGAACTATTGCAATTTGAGTTCGTAAGAGTAGCAATAAGGTAACACGATTCCCCAGCCCGCATGTGTGTACGAGTATATTGACATGTTCTTGTTCAAATTAATCACAGAGTTTCTAATTTGTAGATGTGTGTAGATATATGGCAAAGGAATTGTAATTAAAATTGCTGAATTATTTGTTACACGACCCAGACATGAGTCGACTCCTTAAATAATTGCAGTTTATTGTATTTGGCTATGCTTCAAATGGGAATTTCGAGGTATTACTTTTTAAACGTCTTGTTTGTTTGACTAAGTTATAAATAAATATTTGTATTGGAATTAGTTTGGTTTTGTCTTTCTTGAGCTAAAGAATTAAACTAGAATTACTCTTAAGTATTTGCATTTATTTGATTATGTCTTTCTTGCGCTGTTATTCAAAAACATTAGTCTAAATCATTAAAAATTCTTGAATACTTTAAATTCTCCTTTAACAGTAATATAGTTTAATGTATGTTTGGAACATTTTAATTAAATTGAAACCATTACCTTAAGGCTATTTTTGAGTATTTTGCTATTGGTAGTTCTTCCACACATTTAAATAAAAAGTAAACTATTAGTTTAAGGCCACTTGTGAGTGCTTTTAGGAGATATATCGACCAACTTTAGTCTTGATATATATACTATGTTGTTCCTTGAACATCTTGCACTTCACTGTGCACGCATTTTCCCACTATTATCTATTTTTCTCTTCCTATATGGGTACGTGTATATATACGGATATGCACCACCCACTGCAGATTACCAAAGTCGCAGCTAACATATTTTGCTCAAAAAAAAAAAGCAGTAAAGGAAAAAGCTAGAGGAAAAGGAGTATGAAAAAATGGGAAACTGTTGCAAGTGTGCTAAAGTTTCATGCTTCATTGGATGCCGACGCCCGGGCCCTTTTGCCCATTTCCCAATTTTCCGGGTCTCCTTGGAGCCCGTTTTCTTGGCGGCAACGTCGAGGCACGCGCTCTCCAAGAACAATCAAATTTGCAGCGAGCTTCTCCGGGTGTAATATTCTTCTTACTGAAGCCAAGACAGCCAGCCAGACATGTGGCCATGCTCCTTGGTCTCATCCTGCGGCACATCCTGCTGCACCACATGCAATAATGTGGGAGTGGCACTTTCATAATCGAAACACTCGAAAGATGCAGGTTCTCCGGGGGCTTTTGGGTCCATTAAAGCATTTGGCATTCGAAATTTAAAAGGCAAACTCCCCTAAGACGCCATTGTCTGCAGCTATTCAAGCACACATATGCTTAACGCTTACTTTTGGGTCTCCCTATAAGTATATATATGGTATATGGGATCCCTTTATAGTTCGACGGGGGAGGCCTTAAACGTTTGCCTCTTTCACTTTTTTATTTGCATATTTTAATGCAAATTGTGCAGAATTAATTTAGTGCTGTTTAGTCCCGAACTCGAACTCGAACTCAAGGCCCGACCCTACAGAATTTACCACATTTTTCCCTGTGTGTCTGCTCGTGTCGCTTGGTTGGTTTTCGTTTCATATGTAAATATTCAAGTTTCAAGTTATTTTCCCTTCAAGTTGGTTCTTCGGTCGTCTCCATTGTCGTTTTACTTTATTGTTTATGCCCGAATTGTGTTTGAGTTGGCCTAGTTTTGGGGCCAAGGGGCAATGAAGGCAATGAATGTGCGAAAAATATTTTATGAGCTATATTATGTAAACTGAATTTAGTTTTTCGTTATCCCTCCTTTGCGTTTGACATTATTTGCTCTCTCGGGCTCGGGTTTTGTTGACCTATGAATGAACCAATCCGGACACGATTTGGGTTTAAGAAATGTTCAAATTCCATAGAAAGTCTCATTAGCTGGGGTTTCAGGACTCAGGATTCAGGACTCAGGATTCTGGACTTAGAACTCTCGCTTGAAGCTTGAATATTCATGCGTGAAGAGAGGCGACAACCAAGAGAATTATTTCAGGGGAATTGCATAAAAAAAATGTTGCTCACGTACAAAGGAAATGAAATGAAATGAATTTCAGAGCCCGTCCTTCACTTTGTTCGCTAGTTATCTGGCTCCGTTTGCCGTGGCCCCTCTTGCTTTTCCGCTCCTTTTTTTCATTTTTTTTTGTCCTCGACGGAGCATTTGCAGCTGGGCCTTGGAACGCGAGAGCTCTGGGAAATTTATGCTGATCATTCATAATGTCAAAGACGCGCCAAAGGATACGGGGTAGTGTTCCAGGACCTCGGACTAGGCTCGACACCAGCGCGAGAATGAATGGCCCAGGTCAGGACCAGGCAGGACCACTGATAGTCTGGCCCGAAATTCGGTTAACCCCTTAGGAGCCAACGTTGCGTATGAGCAACATTTTTTATTTTGCGTCCACACTGCGTATGGTTAACTATTCACTTTGCAAGGGAAGACATAAAAATCTTTGAAAATACGTTAGGTATTTAGATTCAATAAAGGAATGTAATTTAAAAAGCATAACTGACTATGAACTTTATAGAAATTCCATTTCAAGAAAACATTAAATATTATAGTTCCTATTAAAATAGAAATGTTCGTTTTTATTGGAACAATTATTTTCAATGTTTTTATTTGAAAGCTGGGAAAAGCTAATAATTTATGAGCATTTTTCTTCATTTGTTTATCAAATGCAAATTTGAGTTAAACTTTTTTACTTTTGTCAAAAGTATATTTTTATCTACTCTAACATGATCAAAATGAGAAAACATTTCGAGACAACGAAGAAAAATGTATTACAGTTAAGGAACAATAATTCTTGTAAAAATCATAAATGTAGATAATGCCTTTTTCCGCAAAAGGACTTCAATCCATAAAGGGTTAAAATCCACTTTTGCTAAAGCACTTTCTGCGCTCAGCTTTTTGGGCTTCTAATCATCGCCGCATTATCATCGCAATGGCGCCAAATGAGGCGCTGCAAGGGGGAAAACCGGAGGGCGAAAAAAAAAGGGAAAGTGAGTTTCCATTTATGGCTAAACAAACGCTATCCCCTCTTGGTTCTTGGCCAAATTATTTGTATGTAAAGCGAGCTGTGTCGCCCGAGTCGGGGGAAATCAGCAAAGTAAAGTAAAGCAAATCTCGGTAGCAAAGCAACAGAAACACGAAAAACCGTGCACAATAAGAAAAGAAAATCAATTTCCGCTTTCGAAATAATTCCAAAGCCATACAAAAGCGGGTCTGAGCTCCAGCTAAAGCCAAAAGGAGCAGAGATGAACGCAAAGCAGTGTAGCTGTGCCATTATATCCTGTGCGGCAGCGAGATAAGATATTTGCACAAGAATGGCATTCAGTTGATAAAATCCGATTTGAAAATGAGCGAATGCCTGGCAATGAGCAAGACACGCGGCCCAGGAACAAATCGAAGGATTCGAAGGACTCCGAAGGAGAACGGAGAACAAAAGCAGAGGAGGACTTTGGGATAACAATTTTATAAATAAATATTTGTGCGGGCCAGTCCTTCGCCGGCTGTCTCATTGCGTTTCGCTTTTGAACTCAACTATCGGGCGATAAATCATTTGAAGTCTCCAACACCATTGGCCCGGTGACAATCTCTGCCCGGACTTCATCCTCCATCCGCCATCCACCATCCTCCTCTTTTTTACGCACTTTTGGCACCGTAAATCTGTGCCGGAGAGACAGGAGCAGCAGGGGAAAAAAAAGAAGGAACAGTTCAAGTAGAGAAACGGAAGCTTGTCTCCGTCTGATAGCCTCAATGACTTCCGTTCCTGGCGTTTAATGCTTTTTAATGAGTTGCTGCTGCAAAATGTTTGAGCACATCGACATGGACGAGGACGGGAATGAGGATGAAGATGTGGATGTGAATGTGTATATGGACATGGGCAGCTTAATCGATTTCATTGTCGCCCCGTTGAGGTTCAGGTCAGGAAATTGCTCAAGTTCCTCGAAACTCTTAAAGTTTAATTTGAACCCACAATTTATAGCATACCTTTTGGGGCAGTTTATGGCAGTCGAATAGGTTTGTTGTCAAAGATAAAACTTTGTTTAACAGAACCTTGATAATGGTTTAATATGAAAAGATAGTGAAATTAGTTTACCACTTTTCCAAATCACTAAAAAAAAGGTGTTGCATCATAAAAATGGCAAAAAATCGATCCGAAATTACAAACCAAGTTTTAAACGCAGAGTTTTAGAGACTGAAGTCCCAATACTTTAGAGATATGCCACTTTGAAATCGGATGTTTGCAAGAAAAGTTATGGAATTAAAACTACAGGATCTTGGCAACTTTTTTACAATGATAGTTTTCGGAAATTAATTTAAGAGTTATGTCAAAAAAATAAAAAACTAAAATTTTAAAATCAAATTTAAATGCAAATTTTTAGACGCTTAAGCCACAAGACTTTAAAGATATACAACTTTGAAATCGAATGCCTGAAAGAAAAGTTATGGATTTAGTACTGCAGGTTTATGGTCACTTTTCTGCAAGACAATATTTTCGGATATTTAGCAATGGGTTACATCATAAAAATGGCAAAAAATCGACCCGAAATTACAAATCAAGTTTTAAACGCAGAGTTTTAGAGACTGAAGCCCCAATACTTTAGAGATATGCCACTTTGAAATCTGATGTTTGCAAGAAAAGTTATGAAATTAAAACTATAGGATTTTGGTAATTTTTTTTGTAATAATTTTTTTCGGAATTAATTAAGAAGTTATGTCAAGAAATCATTGTTTAATTTTTTATTTGTTGGGCTTAAAAGACTGTTCCATAAAAATGTAAAGCTGGAACCTTTAAAACCTCTAAGTTTATTTTAAATTTAACAACTTAAAAGCACGTGAAACTGTTAAAAAGAATATTGTTCTTGTAAATACGTTTGTATACGTTTATACATATATATTTATATATATTTTAAATGATTTCCCAACTTGGAGATTTCACCAGTAAAACTGTTTTCGAGAACACTCACAGCCTGAAAACCGATTGATGACCCTGTGTCCTTGCCCTCTGATGTCCGATTTGAGTATTGTGTCCAAATCGTTTTCGGACGACAGTTTAGACTTCGATTGGCCCAAGCTGGAGCCTGGGCCCAGTCTGATTACTTATGCCGGTCAGGTAAATCTTGTAAGGATTGTCTCCTGCGTCTCGTTTCGGTGTCAGGTCGAGTTTGCTTTTCACTTTTGGTTGCGCCCTGGCTGGGCTGTGTCGACTTGATTTGTTGGCCGTGCCTTTAAGTGGGGCTTTAATTTGTTTTGGTCACTGAGAAAGAGCGCGATTTGCTCGGAGCGCGGCCATATGTCTTGGTTGCTAGGGGCAGGGACCAAGATGGATGTCCTGGGGCCGCGGGTGCTTGGCTTCCTTCCTGGATTTCCCGCCAGTCCGCCACCATCTTGACAAATGAGTGGCCCAAAGGTCGTTGCCAGGGTCGCGATTGCCGTTGCTGTGTTATTTTTTTTATTATTTGTTTATGCGTTGCCCGTCCGCTGTTCTGGTCTATTGAAAAATCTTTCGTCTTTTCCTTCTTTGGGCGGGGGAGGAAAACAAGCAAAGAAATGCAGGAAGATAAACAAGTAGCCGCAAATGGCCACGAGGAACCCTGAGTCCTGAGTCCTGACCAGAGAGTCCCACTTCCGGGCCACGTTCTCGGCCAGGACCTAACAAATTGTGGGCAATATTTTCATTTCATCAGGCGAGTGTCCTTGGCCAGCGCCTTGGGGCACCACCACTCCCCCCAAGTTGGCAACTTTATTGCATTATTGAAAAACTTGTCAAAATATTTTGAATGTGTAGAAAAGCTCTTGGCTCTTATTAAATTTACCATCCGCCCAGCTCTCATTCTCATAATTGTATGAAAATATTGTATTTCAAGAAGGCCGCAGACTGAGACTGAGACGTGGGCAAATATATCTCTTATTATGTTTATATTCAGAGCAGAAACAGATACAGATACAGAACTTACCTCGAACGACGGCACTTGGCAGTGTGCATTTTTAAGCGAGCTGCTCTTTCGAATTGCTCATGGTTTAATTAACGCAAATGGCAATATTAAAATGTTATGAATTTCATATTTTATGCAAGTAAGGAATTTCAACATCAACAATGTGTGCTGATGTTTTTTTGCGAATTCATATTTTGCAATCAAGTGAATTTTGTTGTGGTTTAATTAAATTGCTGTTGATCCTTGCTAAATTCGTTGGCCATCCTTTTTTTTTATTTGCCATCAAGACTGCAAAGAAAATGTGAAATATTTATTTATTAAATATTATGTTTTTAATGCATAGATATGTGTTTTAATAACTTGTGGCTTTGGTGAATCAGAGAGAGGCAGGTTATTAAATATTTTTTTGATAAATAAAATACAAAGTTGTTATGCTTGAAAACTTTAAAAAATATGTATAAATGTGTTTTTTATATAAAAAATAAATTTACAGTAGATTTGTTTTAAACAGCAGTCTAGAAATCCCATTTAAACTTTTAAACATAAATTTCTAGTTTACCCCAAAACAAAGAACACCTTTGGTGGTTGTCCATCCTGTTTGCCAATAAGTGTTTGGTTTCAAATGCAGGACTGTTGTCCAGATAACCAACTAATTGATGGCCAAACCTGATAGACCCTTAGTCCTTGTTGCCCACTCAAACCTTCGACTCTCCTGTAAAATAATCCAGGGGAACGATGCTCCTGACGTGGCTACATTTCATTTTTAGAAATAATGAAGCCCATGCTGGAAATAATTGGTACAGATCGATGAAATTTAATACGTTGAGAAAAGCTAGAACTAAGCGAGAACGCGATGATGGTACAACAACAATTCGCATCAAATTTCCAATTAAACAACAAATTCTAATTTATGTTGCGCAAGTTGCCCACTTGTTTTGTTTGCCTTTGTATCTAATTCATAGTAAATTATTTTGAGGGTAATTATTTTGTGGCTGGCTATTAAATATCTCTGACATTACGTTGGTTGTTTGATGTCAGACAATTATTTCCGATTCATTAATACGAAATTGTTTTTTTTTTAGTCTCGCTGAAGAATGTGTAGTGATGTGTTTGGTTTTCTGTTGCAGCGCTTAATTGAAAATGTGCTGCCTAATTAGTAAAAGTTTTTCAACCGCATTTCGCCCCGTTTTCCTTGTGTGAAATTTGTACTATACATGCTGCTGTCAATTTTGTCAGAACTTTTACCGCCGAAATACACACGGGTGTCTATTATGTGAAAATACACATATGGCTGGCTGGGTGACATATAAATGTCGCAGTCAATAACACAAAAGACCCCCAGAGAACCCATTTTAAATTCGAAATCGAAAGAGCGAGAAAACAATCAAATAGTCGAATACATATAACCCTGTTTTTGGGGCTTGTCATATTGAAAATTTATTAATTAAATATTATTCAACCCCTGTATTACTCAGAAAGATACAAATGTTAATGAAAAACACAAGTATTGCTTATAACAAGTCATTTAACCATTAGTAAATTAAATTTAAATTTCTTATAGATTTCAAACATCATGTTCAATTATCTAAAAAGTAATTTAAAATATGAAGCTGTAGTGTGTGAATGCCTGAGACGTGAGTAAAAAACAGTGATTGAAATATCAATTAAACACACTTATTTCTTAAGCATTTTTTTTAAATCATATTATTTTTAAATATTAATTTCACATAAAAATTGTTTTAAATATAAATCCTATATGCTCAACCAAACTAATTAAACAACTAAGCCCAAAATCCATTTTTAAAATGACTTTCAATGATTTTCTTTTAAATTGCTTTAAGTGCTTTTAATAATTAATTTAGTTTATTTATATACTATATACTCTTATCCAAGGATACATCGAAGTCTTTTCCGGTTCGATTGTTTTCTTTTGGGGAACCACGAAAGTTCATGAGTTGAGCAAGTGTCACGCACATTTTCCCCCTCGTTTTCTGCACCCATCTCAGCGGCGATTTCCATGCGCAATTTTCTATTATTTATTATTTTTATGGAGCTTCGACTCGAATGGAAAACTGGGGTGAGTGGTGGCATGTCGTGTTGACAGTTGCCATTGATTTCGTTTAGGGGCGAGAAGAAAATTAGCCACGTTTCCATTTCATTTGCATGCAGTGCTGAATCAAAATTATATTCATATATTTAAGTGCGAGAGTATCGGGCAATGCAATAATATTTCCTCTGATTTGGCATAATAACATTACCGACAGTCGCATAAATTATGCATTGAATAACGCAAAAGAGGGTAATTGGCAAATACACATTTTTGATTTGTTCATTCGACTCTTTCATTGATGAGCATGATTTTAACCTATTATACGGATTAAAAATATGTGAAAACTTTTATTCACAAGCAATAATTCTTTAGTTGCTTGCAAATTAAAGTTTCATTTTGAATTTCCTTCTAAACGAATTGTAACGATATAAATTCTATAAAAATAATCAACGTATCCTTTTACTTCAAATTTACAACTTTTTTAATTGGATTTGAATATTATAAATATTATATTATTGAATATTTGTCTATTACATTTTTTTCCTGTGTCTTCCTGTGTAAATTGAATTCCTGGAAGCAGCTTAAAATTGCTCAACAATTGAAATCCAATTTGCCACCACCTCTAACATTTTGCAGGGGCGACGACGTTGTCGACAAGTCAATTTCTGTATCGATTCGTTAGAAGAAAAAGCAATTAAACGGCCTGTGCTGTGTGAAAATATTCTTTAAATTGAAAATCATAATTATTCATGACAAGGACGGCGGAGCGGAGTGGAGTGCTTTTGATGCGAGTAGAAAAATGGTTATAGTCAGTCACTCATATACTGGTTGTTTGGCGAGAGCTCTTAAATATAAAACATTTAACGTTCGCCTTTGTTGATGGCTCGACTCATTCGCTTCATTTGTTGGATGCATAAAGTCCCTCGTATCCGTCGAGCCCATTGTGAGCTGGTTTTTCCATCATATTCGCTTCTTTTGTTTTTCCCGCTTTCCATTTTTTCATACATATACATATGTATATATATATATATATATATATATATATATCAACGCAATTTTTTTTGCACTTTCCCCATTCATTCAAACAAGTAATGAAGTTCTCTTCTGGCAAGCGGATCGTTCCCGCTTCGTTGTTGTTTTTATTCGGTTTGATATTCTTTTTTATCGATGCACGTTAAATTTTATTGCAATTGTTATGCGCTCGCATCTTCGATGCGGTGCGGTACGCTGTGGTGGCGTTTTATATTTAATAAATTTAAATCACTTTATATGTGAGTTTTATGTGCGTTAATAATGCGTACGGGGGAACTGCGTTTCCTCATATTCCAAACCCTCCTCCACACCACCATCTTTATGAACAAAGAGCAGAAATTTCAAAAGCAATTTATTCCGCGCAGTATACCCGATACAATATGGACATAAACTAACCAACATTTATGTGTGTGATGTGCAGGATATTAATGATGAGTTTGGTATCCGTTTTAAATAAGTGAGCAGAATCAGAACTCGAGGGGAGTTTTTGATGGAAGAGCACACGGCCATCAACAATTTAAATGATAATGGTTAAAGTTATTATACGTTTATTAATTATAATAATTGGGTGTGCCATGGAAACGGTTGAATTTATATCTTTTGCACTTTAAATGTTAATTATTTAATCTTTCTTTTACACCATTTTGTTATCACGCAAAGAAAAATATAATGAGATTTGAATACTCACTAGATAATTGAAATATTATATGAGATTTCGACACATAATCTATATTTTTTTTTGTAAAGCATTGGGATACGTAATTAAACACAAACAACTCTTTTCTATTTAAAAAACTTACTTCAGAATATGTATTTTTACTAAAATTAATATAAAGTCGAGAATCAGCTGCACTAGTATTAGAAAATATTTAAGATATTTAATTATAATCTGCTTATATTAAGTTAATTAATTGTTCTTATTCTTGTTCTTATATGTTAAAACAACATTAAATTTATATGACCATATAAAAAGTGATTTTTTTTTAAAACACACACATTTAAATCCCGAAAAATGTACGAAAATGGCTTAAACTGTTGAACACTCGAGTGGGGGAATTTAAAAAGTAGACTGTAACTGGATAACTTTGTCTGTTTTGACCGCACCATCCAACGGCTGCTCTTCTGGCCCAACTTGAAGTAAAGTTTTGTGCACTTTTTGCTACTTTTTGGCTGGTCGTTTCTGTGCACTTTGGATGTCAACACATCGACATAACGACACATTCGTCCAATTTACACACTAGCCACTATACACTACCCACTGCACACTACCCACTACACACAGGCGGAGGCACTCGAGAAAGGACTTTGGCGGCAGACAAGCAGCAAACTTGAACTTTTGCGGGCAGCCAGATGTTGAGACAGTGCTGCTGCTTACATTTACATTTTCTACAGATATATCCGTATATATATGGTATATATATACATACGCTATATATATACATCAAAAGCACCCACGGCCACAACATTTTTGGCAACCGCGCGCATTCCTCGCACTCTAATTACATGTTGAACCGGGGAAAAGCCGGGAAAATGGCGGGGGAATTGCGGAAAACTCAAACTGAAAACTCGGCTTGAGCATGCGTTGTGGTTTTTCATTTGCATTCGCTCGAAGGAACTTCGCCCCGGAGTTTTAAGTGAATGAAATTTCTTGGCCAGGCCACTTCTTTTTGGGCTGCCTAGGATAATTAAATTGGGCACAAGTATGGTACAAACTTCTTTCTATATATAGTAAGTACACCCTGTGCATATATCTACTTCTATATTTTATTTATCATTTCTTCAGCCTCTGACTTTTGGTTCTTCTTGTCACTGACTCTCGAGAATGTCGAGCTGCGATAATTCCTGCAGCAGCAGCAGGCGAATTTCTGTGTTCACGGTTTAGTGAGCAACAACAATTTTGCTGCCATGAATGCATTTTGCAACCAGCATTTTTGCCCCCGCTTGTTTTGGGTCTTCTTCTGGCAAACTTTTTTGAGGGGCGAGTGTGGGTGTTGTGGGTGGGTGGGTAAATCATTTATCAATGTCAGGGAATGCAGAACATTCTCTCTCCGCACGAAAGAACTTGTGTATGGCGGCAGATTGCAACGGCCTAGCCTCTGATATTGGGTGGAGTTTCGGCCTTTCCCGGTGGGTGGTGGTTTCATATTTGGGTGGTGCTTGGGCGGTGCAATGCCTGCAAGTGCGTGAAACAAGTTGGCGGAACTTCTGACTTTGTTTCGCAAAATACTCAAGTGATTTCGAAAATTATGCGCACGCATAAATGCATCGAACAGACATGTTCGAAACTTTGTATCAAAATTGCAATCCACGAAGAACAAGGCAACAAAAAGCGACGAAACAAGTTTGCCACTCTGAAAAGTATAGATATTTGGTCTAATAAAAGCGCCTCAAACATGACCTACACAATAAAAACAAATTTGACAGAGTTTCTATGAGATATCTTAAAGAAATGGCTAACATTCGTTACAATCAACCTTTTTGTTATTCTTGACAGTGGTTATAATAAATATGTTATTATTATTATTTTTAAATCGTTAGAATACAAATCTGGATCACACTCGTTTTGGTAGCAAAATAAGTTTGAGACTCTGAAAAATATTGGTACTTTTACTTATAGAAGCGCTTAAAACCTGACCTAAAAACAGAAACAAAATTTGCTTAAATTTTTAAAGATATCGTAAGGGACTGATAAAAATAAAATTGAGGTCACCAAAAGTTCGTCTAAAACACCCTCAATTTGTAATGCTAATAAATTATTATTCATTAGACCTATTAACCTATTTATAACCAATTATCTCTTTTGTTTATACTAATATTCTTTTAATTCCAATAAATAAAGATCGACAACAATGGAAAAAATTTTCGATTATTTTCTGAAATTCACTGATGAAAATCTTGAGAAATTATGCTTTGAATATGGACGGACAATCAAATAGTTTAATGACATCAATTCTGTTCTGCAATTCAAACAATTTCCCGCTGGCCATTTCCGAATAAGGCGTGGCTTTGTCTTTGGCTTATGGCAGAAACTTTAGCACTTAGTGCCAGGACTCCTCCATTCCCATCCTCGTCCTCTTTTGGCCACCATATCCTCGAAAGCGGCCGAGCGAGTGTTCTAATCCTCTGGCCGCCACTTGTTTGCTGGCGAAACAAGTTTGCACTCAAAACTCGTAAATAATGGATGGAAAAAAGCGCAACCGCACCATTCATAATGGAAAAAGTTGCCCGGCCACTTGAAACTATTGCACAAGCACCGAGCTGGTCGAGCTGGGAAGGATTCAGTTGGTTTGGGTTTTGGGTTTGGGATCTTCCTCCGAGGATGCATTGCAATACGGGGATGTTGGATGCAGGATGCAGGAGCTGCAGTGTTCGCCGCCGGCGTTATTGTCATGTGTACAGTAGAAAAAACAAATAACAAACAGCAACAAGAGAGCGGGGCACAACACACCAAGTCAAGATGAACGTTCTCTGTCAGTGGTGAAATCTCTGCTGGTTTTACGCCAATATTTTTTGGCTAAAAGTGTCTAAAGCAGGAATTAGCTTCAGTTTAAAATCATTACATAATTGCATTTCAGTATTTATTGTCGTTAAGATTTTACACTTATATCGTTTTATATTTTATATACAAAAATAATTGTTTGTTCAACAATTATTTGTTCAAAATTAAAAAATTTACTTTTTTTAAATATGTCTGTGTATTAAGTGAGCGAAAATTGTTGCATTTACTTTTAAAACTATTTGCTTTAATACTACTTATTATTTGTTTTGGGACTTCTTTAAATTTTAAAAATCCGTGAAGATTAAATGTAACCTTTTATTTTTTTCAAAATGTTAATGTTTTATTTATAATGCTCATCTCTGGTTCTATATTGCATCGATGTAGGCACCTCTGGGTGGCGTTATTGCACTGGCCGTGGTTGCTGTGGCCTTGATGCGGTTTCCAGGACTCGGGAGCGGAAGTGGATTGAAATGGGTGCCGTGCTCCATCTCCAATCCAGGACACGATTGTCCCCGCCCACAGCTCGTTTGGAAGCCAAGGTTATAGTCACATTTTTAATATGCTGTCTGTTCCGGTGCTGGACGTTGTTTATGATGCGCATATCCAATGGCATTCCAACCGTGTGCATGCCTGGGTATTTGGGTAATAAATTTAAAATTGCTTTCGACTTTAAATTCCGCAGGATGTGCAAAGAGAGAAAGAGAGAGAAAGTCGTCACAGAGCTTTAACTTTAAATGTGCCTTATGAGCTGCATGAAATATGGTTCACTTCCCCCGAAAGCAGACAATAAATTGGCATTGGGATATTTATGAACTCGTGTGTTATAATTTAATTATGTCTTATGTCTTATGTCTTATGTCGGTTGTCAGGCGAGCAGGACATTTTCCCAGGAATTGTTTTGCGAAGAAAGAAAAATCTTATCGATTGCCCAGGTGACTATGGCCTTACCTCTTAGCTTCTGAACTTGAAAAATCGGCTTAATTACATTTTTGGGGCGACCAAAAAGAGAAACCGGAAAAACGGAAATTGGATTCTCACAGCAGATGTCACACACGCACACAAATGGCCAATTATTGTAATATTTCGACTTTAGTTTGAATCTTGTACGGATTTAATTCGATTTAATTTATGTTTCAGCATGCATGCACATATTTGCATAGGCAGTTTTCGGGGGGAGGGTGATATATTGTACTATATATATGTGCCCACCACCCACTAAGCTCGTAAACTCGTGACCGGCGAAAACCGAGAAATCGGAGAACCCCGAACGACGACGACGTGGCGTCCACCACGCGATTCGAGTGCAGCAGGCAGACTGAGTGCCGCTCATCAGCGGAAGCGGCGGCAGAGGTGGCGGCAGCGGCGGTCCCGGCGGCAGCAGCGAGTGGCCCGAGCGGTCGCAACTCCGCCGCCAATGAGAGCGGTACTCGCTGGCCACTGAAAATCCCATTCGGCAATCGTGACTTGCCACTCGTGACTGAAGGAATCACTGCGCAGACGCACGCTCTTCCACTGCTAACTAACAGAGTGGTGGGTTTTGAAATGCTGTCCTGGAAGCAACAGTTTGGTAAGGAATAGAATATTTTGAATTTGTTTTAAGTATTTACAAACTATTTTAATAGGAAATTTAAAAGAATATATCAAAGCTTTCAATATTAAAATTTAAATTAACAATTTCAAACCCTTAACCCCCTTAATAGTTGTTAGTTTCTGTTTATGGACTTAACATTTTTTATCCGTGAATCCATAACAGTGCTACAACACCCACCCCTCTTGCTATAAATCTGTTAATAACAGTCTAGGCTTGCTGCAAAGCCCATGTTATTTTTAAAAATTAACCAATAAATACAGTAAGCTAAGCTGAAAGCAAAGATAAAAAAAATGTAAATGTAAATTGCGAGCTTCCAGTACAATTTATTTTTAAGGTTTATATGTTAAAAAATAATTTGATTTTGATTTCAAAAGTTATTGTACAATAAGGCAATATATTTTTTAGATAGAGGTAATTTTTGATACTATAGCTATTTTTTTGCAAATATTTAATGCACCAAGATTTCTTACTTTAAAATAAAACTTTCTAGAAAAATAGCAAACAGATATTATGTAGACTTAAACTAAGTAAATAGACAGTATTCAATTAAAAATAACTAACATCTGTAATAACGAAATATTCTAATCAGCAATTAATGAATTTAAATTCACCTTATTTAAAAGAAGAAGTAGCTTAGCCAAAGGCGGTTTACCATTATAAACTTATAAGTTTCGAATGAAGGTTTGAGACCCACATTTGCATAAATTTATAAATCGGGATTACTAAATAGTTTCCACTGTGTGGTTAATGCTCCCCGCACACTTTCCAGCATTCTTTCCCACTCCCGCAATTGTAAAATTAAGGGAACAATGAAAAAGATAATGCGAGTGCCAAATTGGATTCAATTAAATTAATTTGCATTTGTGGCATTTTAATGGGCATACAATCGCATACATATGCAACTTGCTGCGTGAAAAAGATGGAAATGAAGTTTGAAAAGTAAGTGCCTTAAATTATATAAAACCCAATTAGCATCATAAAAAAAAGGAAGAGAAACTACGATGATTTCAGATGCCGCCGCCAGTCTGCGTGTGTTTTTCGACCTTTTTCGTCTGCTGTTCGCCTGGCATTTTTCGTCCAACATTTTCCCACATTCTCAGATCTATTACACTGGGGTTTTACATAATGCAACAGCTGGCTGAACCACCCAACCACCATACAACCCACCGACCCATCAAGACGAGTTCTCATCCGACTAACCCATTGCGCTGGCTCTTATGAAGTTCAACAAATTATTGTGAATGGGATTCTTTTATTTTTTTTTTTTTGTATTTTTTTGTTTTTCGGGGTTGATTTGTATGCAGCGCTAAAAGCTTGAAAAATGTTTTACCCGCACGTGTTTCCTGCGCTTTGATAGAAAAACTCCCACACACCCGCAGACACCCATTCGAGACACATTATATAAATAAAATGGGGAAAAGAAAAGCACAACAATGAAATGCCAGCTCTAGTGGGGTGGTGGGTGGTGATGTGGGCGGTGGGTGGTGGTAGGCAGTGGGTGGTTGCCAGCGACAGTACAGTATTACTATCGCGGGCCTGACGGCAAGTGGGTGGCTTAAGAGTGGAGTATTTAAGGACCCTCATCCACCCAGAAAGTGACATTTTTGGAGCGAAAACAAAATATATTTTTGCAGTTTTTATACTAGTGGGCGAAAAATCCACGAAGAGTATTTGAAAGTTAAGACCGAAATGTTAACTCAAGGTAGTTAATGTCTGTGCTAGAACTGACCTTGGTAAAGGATTCTTAGTATCCAAAAAAAAGCCATATAAGTAAAAACAGTATATATAAGAATTACACAATATTGAAATAGAGTATTTAGAAAATATTTTCTATAAACATAATTTATTTCGCAAGTCACACTTAAATATTTTTGAATTAGGGTATTTTTGCTCAAGCAAAGAACCATCTGTAGAGCATTAAGAAGTCGCTTCTCCAAGACATGACCGAAACTATCCAACTACCATTGTTGTGTAAAAGATTTGCTTAGCTTCAAGGGACATTACAACTCTAATGAATGACTGGTCCAGGCCATAGCACACTGATTTTTATGTAAGCAATCGCATTCGCATTTGGATGCCATTGCCGTATGGAGGGAGCTATTCCCATTGCCATTCCCATTCCCAGATCTAGTTATCCCTTACCGACTTACTGTTAACTTTGCAGATTTCCCCCCGGGTGACGGGCTGCATTTGCTCCAAATTGAATCCTGCGAGAATGCGCGAGACAAACATCTAAATTGTCAACGTAATGCGACAAAATATTGAAGTCAGCAGGTAAAGCCACCTGACACATCCTGGCCATCGAGGAGCACCCAGGAATACCATACAACCACCTCCCTGTGCGACTCAATCCGAAGTTTGGGTGGAAAATGGGGGACTGCCAGGCACGAATTCAATTTCGCGTCCACAGATGCCATTCACCTTCGGCACGTACGGCTATCAACGTCAACAAGTTACCAGTGGGTGGGTGCTGGCTGGATGGGGGCGGTGGGTATTGCCTCCCAGATTGGGGCGTGGCAAACTAAAGTGGAAAACAGCAGTCAGACAATACAATTGCTTCCTTGACTGCATCTGAGAGGCAAGGAACGACGACGACGACGACGTCGACGACAACGACGACAACGACGACTTCCTGAGACATCTTCGTTATCCTGGCCAACGCTCCCAGTTGCTCCTGACATTTTACACTGAATTATTTATTTAGTTTTTCCTCTTTTTTCCGCCTGCCCTTTTTCCGTCGCTCATTATTCCTCCTTTGTCGTAGACTTTTCCATTTTTATTGCCCCGTGACGAGGAAAACAATGTTGAAATTTAAGCCGGATCGCTTCCTGGTCCTCGAGAGCATCCCCAGTAATTATATATCCCCCGGACCTTTCTAACCATCTTTCGGATTACCTCTGAGATTTTGGCTGCCAAAATTAAATATGACTGTGAAGCATTTTCAATTTGTGGACACGAAAAAAGTTTCGTTGGCCAAGACGCCCGGCCCGGGCTACATATACATTTTGTTACTTTTCCGGTTTACCCGTGGGAAATTTGCTAACAGAAAATAAAAGTTTCTGGTCAAGTGAGTGCAAAAGTTTTAAGTGACGCACTTTTTCATCCCACTTTCACCGCCTTTTTCATTTCATTCTTTTGCTGCTGGGCAAGTTTGGTTGGAGATTACTTTTGTCGTTCGAATTTGGCAGAGTGGAATTTTATTAGGCTTGACTTATGGGCCATGTGTACTACATTTATATGTACATGTGTCCCCAACAAATTTGGAGTGCTTCTTGATTAAATTCTCATCTGGGATTTGGAGCTGGGAGGGGGAACATTAAGCTGGGAAATGATTGCATATGGGATTGGGTGTGGGTCATAAATTCTAAATAGCTTATGGAGTTTTCAAAGTGCCTATTTTGCAGTTCTGTACATGCAATTAATTCAGAAATTCGGGGAACTTTTTACTCAAATACAGACCATGTTTTTCAACTATTTTTTTAACATGTTTAATCTTTTGTAGCACAAAATATTGTTTTCCAAAACAATTATACTTAAAAGTGATTAAAAGCTGTTACAGACAAAATTGCTTAATATAAGTCATATGTTAAAGTTAGGATACAACGAAAATTGGCATAAATAAAAGCAAGATTTTAATTTACTCAAAAACAGGACAAGTTTTAGTTAAAAGACTTTTATTTTAAAATAAAAGTTTGTTTCCCCAACAGGTATTTCTCAGAAATCATAGAAAGCTGCGCTTTTTGCCAATTTGTGTTGCCAAATATGAGTCATATGCTAAAGTTACCGACATAATTTCCATATCAAATGTTGTTTTCATAAATACAAAGAGTAATGCCCATAAATGGAAGCAAGATTGCCTAGCTAATGAAAAGGCCAAAGGCAATTGCAGACACAAAACCTGGAAATCCCTTCAAACTGAATCTGATTTCGAATTTATTTCTGCAGGTTACCCTGTAATGTGAGGAAAATCCATTTTGCTAGATAAGATAGATGGATCTGCGAGTGTTGTGGCCGAGTGGCAAGTCGACGAGACGATTCAGAGCCATAAACAAATTGGTAATTGCCTTGTAATGCCTTGTGTTGACAGGACTCGACAACTAGATAAGGTCCTGTGCTCAGCAAGAGGAGAGAAAGAGAGAGAGAGAGAGCAACAGCAGGCAAAGGAGGGAGATAGAAGACTGAAATTAGCATAAAACTTCAATTTCGCTTTCACACACAGTGCGTTCGTTGCAGAAAGAGAGAAGAACCATATTTTCCAACAAGCCAACAAATCGCAATGGATTGCCAACTATAAAACAGAGGCCTGAATTATGGTGTAAGTGGGTGCTATCCACCCACATGACCCAATATGGGGGATACTTCTGCATTAATTCGTAATTTATTCCAACTTTTAGGGCTTAGACCATACACAAACCTCGTACGTGGAGTGTAAATGAACTTTTGTTCATTTGACTAATTTAATTTCAAAAGTTCTGTCTGTTCAAATTTTGTGAATATTTAAAAACTCCACTCAGCATGCCGAAAAATGATTCGTTGCCTGGGGGGCGGGGGCTGTGTGAGAAGACAAAGCCTCCTTCAAATTGGGAATTCATCATAAAAGTTGAACAGTTTGTAAAGTGGATAAAATATTCATGCATGTGCAAGTTTCTATTAGTCCGAAAAGTTGGATTGGCTAATAATTCACTAAAAAGCAATTAGCAACCATTCCTC